CCCAGACCAGACCCTGCTCACCATCCCGCTCACCTGCCCACGCGAACTGCCATGCAAACTGCCTCGACCCCCTCTGTTCGCCACACTTCTGGTCGCTTGTGCTCCCTGGGGCAGGTTTTTAACCAGACAGGGCTAGCACTGTTCCTCCTCGCTCCGCCCCCTGTGAGTCAGCTGCTCACGTCAGCTGAGCTGCCGGCTCCTGGGCAGGTCCTGTCAAGGACTTGAGGCTCCCTCGGTGGCTCCCTGCTCCAGTGTTCAAGGCGTCCTCTCTCGAGCTACTCACCTCAGCAATTGACCGGCAACCATTGGTGATGCCCGCTTTAAATCTGCCGCCACTCCTCCTGGCTCCGCCCCCTGTGAGTCAGCTGCTTGCGTCAGCTGAGCTGCCAGCTCCTGGGCAGGTCCTGTCAAGGACTTGAGGCTCCCTTGGTGGCTCTTGTCGCTCTGAGTTGAGGCTCCTGGACACTGATCTCCCCCAGCTCCAGTGTTCAAGGCGTCCTCTCTCGAGCTACTCACCTCAGCAATTGACCCTGGATTCAGAAATATCTAGCGCTATTAAGACACTGGGTGGAGGGGAGGTAAGGCATGAATGTTTTAATGGCCTTTGTTTTGAATGATATATAGCATGTATGTAATGTTCATTAGTTAAGTGTTGGACTGTTCACCCACTAATAGGGATCATGAGCTAGGTTTAGACCGTCGTGAGACAGATTAGTTTCACCCTACTGTTGATGTGTTGTTGCAATATTAATCCTTCTCAGTACGAGAAGAACCACAGGTTCAGACCCCTGGTGCCCGCACTTGGCTGAGAAGCCACTGGCACGAGGCTACCATCTGTGGGCTTATGACTGAAGGCCTCTTAAGTCAGAATCCCGCCTAGACGTAGTGATACTGCAGCACCGCTGGCACCTCGGTGGGCTCGTGATAGCAGTCGCTCAAGATTGACCCAGGAAATGACAGTCTTGCTCAGAATGTGTGGGTTAAACCCCTTCCTGAATATTCAGGCCTTCCTCATAGGAGAATGAAAACTCCTATCTTCAAACCCAGGCTGATGTAACTGGTCTAGCTTTGTATGATCTTCCATCGAAGAGAAGGACACTCTTACGAAACCTACAACCTGTGGGCTTTGCTGTCACCGTCCTAGCTAACTAAGCGTGGCAGTTAAACCCCAGGTGTAAAGGGTGGGGCCAGTTCTGCGCAGGCTGCGCTTCACCTAAAAAATCCACTGCAGGGCTTACTCTCACTTGTCTGTATGGACAGGTGAGGGTCGAAACGGTAGGTGAACAAGGTGCATGGGAAGCTGCAAGATCCAAAGTTGCATGCCGGCGGACCACCACATGGGTCACTCAATATTACTCAGGAGATGACAGTCCTGGTCGGACACCCCCTGATTGCCTAAGCACCCTTTTCCAACCAGATTTGCATATCCCACATGCCCTTGGTCATCGTGCTTGTAGTAAACGTGGTTAAAGCCCTTCCCAAATCTTTGGTCGCGAAGCCAAGCCATCAATGTTCACTAGTTTTAAAAAGTTATATTGTAATTTTCTAGATTGGCTGTAGGTTTTTTGTAGTAATGTTTTGACAGACTGTGCACACTCTGTGGATTTTGCCCCTCTAAACTTTTCAAATTGAGGGCTTTTCTGAATAAATCAATTCTACTTGCTATGCTCTTCTGAAGCTCAGGGCCTATATGTCAACAGCTGCTAACTTAGCTGCTCTTGAGGCATCAAACATAACCCTACAATGATCTCTAGTGAATGGTCTCTACTTATGTCTTAAAAATTCACTCTCACTTGAGATTTAACATTCCAGAAGCCTTCTTTGTGAACTCTTCTTCAGTGTGGCCAGTTTTACTATTTAGATTCTGAAAATGGCTTCTCTAGAATTTTTCATTTTTCTATTTTCCTTATTTTACAATTTTGCAGTATTTCTGAGAAAAATATTGTTAAGTCACTGGACCTAAACTTTTCATTTGAAAACTCCTAGGATCTGTTACCTCCCTGTATTCTTAGTCAAAACAATCAAATCCTGAAAGCAAAATTTCCAGTTGACTACTGTTTGTATGAATGCAATTAAAAGCTTTTTTTTTTTTCTTTTTTTCTCCCTGAAATTCATTACAGAAATTAATTCTAAAACTTCAGGGAGCACTCCAGGATCTATCAGCTGAAACACTATTGATTCTACAGAGTAAAATCTGAAAAGGAGAGAAAAATTAAAAATATCTAATTGGCAGAAAAAAATACTGCTATATCATCTCCATTACACACATCTGACAACTCCAGAACCCCAATGACATTTTCCTACTCCCTCCTATCCAGTTGCTTTAAGATGAAGATTCTCTTGGGCACTCCTTGCTGCCTGCACAGCCAAGAACAGCTCACTTTGCTGTGATGGTCAAAGTGTAAACTCATTAAGAGAGTTTACTCATCAGAGTGCACAACTCTCCAATTGGTACCAACATGTAACACCATTTAAAAGTCATCCACCAAAAATGGCGAATGCATTCAACTAAAGGAAAATAAGGTCTGTACAATTGTGCTCTCCCTCTCATACATGTATCTAATTCTACCAGTGTCAGTAGCCTTCACTATTTCATTGCTTTTTTACTAATTTTTTGCTGTAGTTCAGATTATAGTGCTAAACAAAGCATGGTAAGGAGAACATACAATCCACAGTTCTCTTGATATCATTGAGGTCACCCGGACAGAACATAATACATCATCAGTGCAAAACCCAATCTTCTCAGTGAATCAAAATCCACACTCAAGATTGACTTCTAGAAAGGAAGAACAAGCAATCTGAAGACTGCATCAAATCCTCATATTATTTGTAAGTGGGAGCAAGGTAAGGTTTTTCCTTTGTTTCCAAATGTAATAGAATTTCTAAGGTAATATCATAGGGAAAAAAAAACACAAACAAAATGAAACAAAACAGAAAAAACTCAAAACCAAAAAAGAAAAAACCCAACCAAAACACCCCAGACAGGCATGAATTTGATGGCAACAAACCACTGAAAAATATAAATATATTTTATATACTATTTTACATTCATCCTCAACTGTAAGTGATGATCAAAGCAAAATACCAGTTAAGTAAGAACTGTATTTATGGAACACCCATAAGTCTACTAGTCACCTGAATGATTCCAATAGACCACAGCTTTTAAAATACGGCTTTACCAGCACAGAAAGACATGGTCTATGTAGTATCACCATAACGGATTATGGATACTGTGCTAAATTCTTACAGATCAAGTGAGATAGGTCAGTTTCTCAGCTGCTCCTAACCATATTACCAGCTGCACAAACATGGTCCACTAAACCCTTTAGCCATTGCTTCTCTTCCTCCTACTTCGAAAAGAAACAGAGCTGAAATACTCTAGGTGTTAACATTGAGTATATTAGAAATGTACCTGCAGCTGAAGCTGCAACAAAGATGAATAAAAGGGAAACTATTCACTGAAAGGCTAGAAGAAAAAAATCATTATTTAAAACAGTTACTATGTACATAACATGCTGTTTATCAAGAGATAAAGAGATTAAACAGATTTATACTTTATACCCACTTTATACTGAGCCCTATAACATGTGATAAGCACCACGTGTAGGCCAAAAGGCACAATCCATAAGACAGATTCAATATTCTGAAACAAAGAACATTCTGTGCCTCGCAGTCACTAGCTCAAGGCAGAATACACCACACTAGGAAATGCAGAAACACAAAGAGGACCTTGAATGTATTTTGCCACTATGGAAAAGCTCAGTTCTTTCAAATTAAGTGGCTTTTCAGAATTAAAGTTGTTATAAATCCCGTATGGAAGACCATTTTTATTAGAAGATCTTAAGAGCAAGTTTGGCATCAGCAGCGAAGTCTAAGGGAAGAGGCAAGCTTTGGAAAAAATGCCTCAACTAAGACTGCCTAGTGCTTCCTACTGTAACACCACCTCTTCAGTTCTTACAACTTTAGCAAGCCATAATTGTTCAGACTACAATTTTCCACACTGGACTTTTGCCAATTTTGAGAGACATTTTTTTGAGTACTTTTAGTCTCTTCCAAGAAAGAGGCTACGGAGTAACACACTGGTCTTCACAGATTAATGAATTCCACTGACCTTTCCAACAGCTTGAGCCCACTAATGCTTCAGAAAGGATGGGATACTGAGTACAAATCTTTGCCAACCTCAAATCCTTTGCCAATCTTGAACCCTTTGCCAACCTTTGCCTCCTTAATTTGGTCAAGATCAAGCCTTGGTACATACTGCTAATTTATGTATGCAGAAGAAATTTTGATTTTAACAATGCATTGATCACCCTATCCAAGCACTATGCAGGAGACAGGCAAGCCGTGCATGGGGGGCATAAATGACTACAAGCAGACTGAAAAATGTACAAATGAAGAGCCAACATGAAAACAGGATCAGTAACTGCTACCTGGGCACAGGAGGAAGGAAAAAGGGTAGTAAAGGTTGGCAGGTAAAGAAGAGGTAGAAAAGCAACAGAAGGAATTTTACCTTGGAGAAAATGCAGGGAGGGCAACAAGCCAAGTCTGTGCATTCCCCTCCCTCAAGGACTGGAATGAAACCCAAAATTGCTCTCTAGCAGACAAATGGTGAGACTCAGTATCTGCAGAACTGTAATACATGCTATTTTCCTGTGGACCACAGAGAAGACAACTACATACTACCCTGCTAAAATAATACCTTCAATTCAGACTACAGAGATCTGGTGCACTGGAATTTATCCATCCTGATAAAGAACATCTGTTATTTTTTCAATATATTTAAAAAAAAAAACAACCTAGGAATTTACAAATATTAAAACAAGTTAAAGAAAAATCAAAGACCGCAAAACCAAGTGCTGAAAGTCGTTGCAATTTTAATCAGGCTTTTCTCTGCATGCGTTTTATGAGGAGTTTTTGAAGACAGGAACACATAAACTAAATGGAAAAATGTCACTGTTTGAATGTAACTGTCCATGTCTTGAAACTAACTCCATACTGTCTATGGTCATCCTCTTTTAATGTCCTTGCCTATACCTATGGAGTTCCAGCAGAGCAGGCATCCCACAAAGCTGGAATGAACTAGAGGAATATGGGGGAACAACAGGAATCTATGTTAGATTACACTGTCATCACTCTTGTACCTTTGCTAAACAAAGACTTTTATCCCTTTAAGTTCTATCATGACCCAAGTGTATCTTGTAGCCTTCTGACATCTCTCCACTGTCTTACTCCTTCACAGAGGTAAACCAGCCTCACTCCCAATGCAATCAGAAAAGAACAAGTCTGCAATATTTAGGAAACAAACTCACATATGACCAATATTGAGTCAGTCCTTACCTCATTTTGTGGAACGACAGCAAATGGTTGGATGACAGCTGCCAATGGAATACGAGCCTGTTTGGCCATATCTGAAGACAATGGGAAGCAGTAGGTAGTACATCGGATGTAACGAGGGCTGGCATGGCCTAGAACGCCCAACATAGCATGCAGAATGAAAGGCTGTTAAAAGGAATCTGCCTGCCTCAAACATAAACCAGAAGAATCAAAAACAAACCATAAAGAAACAAGTACATAAGTACACCTTTCTTTTTCTCCCATGCAAGCGTCTACCCATCTCTCTGCTTTATGTATATGCCAGTCCATTGCCCCACCCTGTGGGTAAATCTTTTCTTGCTGTTTGAGTTTAAAACAGACATTTAAACATATAAAGAAAAAAATCCACAATTATTTGCAATAAGAATCTCAACAGAGATTAGTTTGAAATATATCATATCTAAGGTCTTAAAAGAAAATAATAGGGGTGAAAACCCCAGTGGAAATGTCAGCACTGTATATAAACAAATGATGCAGACTGATAACTACTGTTAAGATTGCTCTAATGAGCTAGCTCTGATTCAGAAAATAGTGTATCTGATCATTTACCTTGCAAAATACTGTATGCTAAAATCACTATATCATTTATGCGACACACTTAGGTCAGTTTCCTTTGTCAGAAACTGTGCTAGGCACAGAAAGGCAACATTTCAGAAACTGGCTTCCTTATGCTTCTTTTTTAACCACCAAGCTGTAGCTCTGCTCAGTTTCTTGAAAGGAATTTATTTCTTTGTTAATCAAAACTGCATTACCCCATTCCCAGATAATGCCAAAAATATCTTGATGTGTTTGCACATTTTATACAGTTTATCCAAACACTGATAAATTAATGTTGGACTAAATGATATCATCCGTTTAATCTGTAATAAAATATCAAGTCTGCTGCCAAGAGCAGCACATGCAATATTGTACTTCCAGGCTCTAGGCAGAGACAAAGGAAGATACATTAGCCAAAGGAAAAAAACAGAGTCAACTAGACAGATTGTATGCTGCTCCTATCACTTGAATAGAATTTTCCATAATTCACATCTTAAAAGGTAACAGTGCTAGCCTCATTGCTTATTCTAGTGTCCACCTTTTAAAATTTCAGAAGAATCCAGAAAGCATTTCCAATTGGAAGTTTAAAACCTTGAAAAATTTTAACTTAGAAAATTTGTCTCAACTATTCATATTATTTTAAAGGTCAGGAAGGGTAGAGGAGTTGTTAACCCAAGGCATAAGAAACCAACTCCCACTTCCCCATCCCTGCTCTCTTACCCCACCTCTTTTTCTTTAAAGGGAGTTGCCCATTTCATGTCTGATTTAGACTAAGTAGCATCATTTTCAGATAACAAATTTGAGAATTTAGGTGGGTTTGTTTGGTTGGATTTTTTTCTTCAAAATTAATTTGATTTCACCTAGATAAGACTCCCAAATGAGTAACAAGGACAGTTACCTTGGTCATGGATTATGCAGTCTGTGGTGACAAGAGGAGGAACCTGTCCTCTTATGTTTGTAGCATAGATTTGCCCTCCTCTAGAAGCCTTATCATTTTCAATTACTTGAATCTGATGAATAAGAAGCAAGGACAGTGTGAGTGGACAGTGCTACAAAGCTATCACAATTCAGGCTTCTGAGACACTTAACTAGAAAACTACACACACAGCTGAGCCGAGTTATAACTTATTTACAACTGCAGTTGCCTGTTGGAACTCAGGGGTAAAACTATACATTGGGATGGATGACATATACAGTTAACAGGTGAGTTATTTAGAGTAAGCATACTGAATGCTAGGACAGAACTTTTCAGGAGAGGTTGGCAACAAACTGAGGACAGCGATGATGTAAATAAGTCTTTCGTACCGATTATGGCCTTCTATTTTCCCAGATCAAACTGAAGTGCAAAGTTGCTTGACCTTACTCAGATGCCACATATACCAGGTTATCTTTTGTATGACTATAGCTGTGCCAGCTGCTGCTCTCCATAAATGAATGCACAGGAAACTGATCAGATTGCAATGGCGGGAGGGGCTAGCCCTCATTCCTCCTGAGTAGGTTCCATGCACAGGGTGGTTAAGAAATAAACAGTCTATATTGTAGATCACCTTCCTAGCTGAGCTGTATTTCAGGACTGCCATTTAGAAAGCAGCAATTTAAAAACCTGAAAAATGCCTTGCTGGCCATCACGTAGTATTTCAACACTGGAGCTCAGGGGTTTCATTCTCTAGGTCAGATTACCTTGTTGCGAGCTTCCTCTTACAAAGTAAAGGAGAGCAATCACAGAAATTTTTACTAAAATGAGGCAGCTCTGATCATGTACATATTTACTCTTGTTGAAGCCTAGTTTATAGCAATATACAATGCCATGTCATGAAGCTGGCTTTACTTCTGAACAAATTCATCTCCTGTACACTTCTTCCCCTGTCCTTTCTGCACAGTCCTTAACCCTGTTTAAGTCTGATACTTTTCAGGATATAACTGAAGTTCAATAAGGCTACATTTTGTTCCACACCATAAACCAGATCACTGAGATGATACCGTTATTCCTCCTCTTCCCTCAAAGAAGCTGTCTTTTCAGAAATCTGGTTTAGAGTATAGCTGAACAGCTGTAAGAGGCAAGAGAAATGAGGCCATTTCTGAAACTGGTTTTGCCACTGCTGCTGGTATCCCATGGAATTTTTACACTGCACACGTATTTCTAATAATAGGAAGTTAAGAAACCTCTGTTGGAAAGCAAACAGAGAAGAAAAACAAAATTAGTTGCATAGAATCTGTCGATAATTGTCAAAAAGGTATTTCCTAACACACTGGAAATAATTAGGGGTTTGTAATTTTTTTTTTCCCTAATGAAGTTTTTGTATTGCAATTTAAATATACCATACACTCCATACAGAGCTTGTTATATATTCTGTTTGATTACTTTTCCCTGCCTTGTATACTTACTGCTAATTCTTGCATTAGAAGGAAAAAGGTTTTGAACTAAAAGGTCCACTGGCTGAAGAAAGCAAACCACTTTCAGAATTAGCTCTGCAGTGGATCAATGTACCATGGTATTATGCAGTTAACTGACCTAAATACATCATTGTTCTTGGAAATACTTGTTGACAAAGCCAGTATGCTAGTTTTCAGAGATGTTTTCAGAGCATGTATCAATCTCTAACATACATTAAAAATATAAATCAACAATGGCTCAGATAAGAAGAAAATTTATCTGGCAACACTACTGTAATTACATAATGTAAGTATAACAAGAGAAATATACATGGTTATATTAGTTACTCATTCTGAATTAGCTTTATGCCCTTTACAGACCTTGACCCAGATCATGTTTCTTTTAAATATGTCATTTTGATCCTCTCTGTGCTGCTTATATAAACCTTTTAACCTATTTTAACATTGCTGTCATAGTCAAGGCTGTTTATTCTACATTCATAATTGAAACAAGACATCAGTCCATGCTTTTATGCCAGACCTCCTTCTTCATCCCCTTTTTTTTTTTTTTATTACACAAGACTGTATTACCCTTCTTATGCAAAAAAATACCATACTGAAACAGCTAGGAATGACTGACCTATTAAGGACATTTGTTAATTACACAGACACTCACTTCAGCTTTTGCATACCATGGCTTTCAGTTACATTTAACTTGAAAATTACTTTTAATGAAGGCAATTGCAGTTGTCATATTAACCTCTAAGTGATTATCAACATGCATTTTCTCAACATTCTGGGGATTTTACATCAAAGCCACCACTGGATGAAACAAAAAATCTTTTCTAGAAGGACAAAAGACTATCACAATTTAAGGAAGCAGAGCTGCTCCCTATAGACAGTGTCAGGGATTTTACACAAATGCTTTTTCCTCACCTTTTTCGAACTTGCATTCTTTCCTGTACAGCAATGCTGCCTCAGCAAAGAAGTGGAAGATTCCTTCACCCAGACTAGCGTACAGTGTGGTGGTTAATACATTTCTCTAAGCAGAAGTTCTAGGTCAAAGCTGCAGGACACAGCCTGCTTCAAGACTCCCAGCTCTGAGGACCTTTCTGACCAGTCTGGATGATTGGCAGAACCAGTGTGCGTGTGTATCAAAACGTGTTTTCCCCATGAGTTCAGTGCTTTCTATTTCAATCAGCTGTTCAGTGAAGTTTAGACTGCTTTATTTAAGATAGACACAACCATAACCTAGTTTTCTCTAACACCATTCTAAGAGATGCTGTCCCACCAGTACATTTTCAGGTCTAGTTGCCTGGAAAACTCCCAGAATCAAAGACTGAAGAGCCTTTTGAGCATGGGACTTCTTACCATTTCCATTTTGAGTTCTTGTACCTGTATTCTGCACAAATCCTGCTGTACATATCTGTTACAAGTTTAAGGCTTCAAACTTTCCAGAGTGAAAGGGAAAGGTGATTAGTTGCAGTGAATGCAAGTAATCCTTCAGTACTGCTCATCTTAGCATGTATTCATACTAAGAATCCATTTGACAATTCCTATTTAATATGTCCCACGTTAGATGAAGTTATAAAGGCTCTCCAGTACTAAAATTAATATTATGCACTAATTCATCCAAACCTGACTGCAGAGTACAAAATGCATATTATTAAGAACTTGCAAAAATTGTAACAGATTTTGTGAACGAACCCATGTAAGTGCAATTTTATGTTCAAAAAAACCCAAACCAAACCAAACACAAAAAAACACCCCCAAAACATACACACACAAAAAAAACCAACCAAAAGCCAAAAACCAACAAGCAAAACCCCACCAGCTAAAACAAATACAATATTAGCACTGCCATTCCTCTATCTTAAATGCAGCAGAAATTTACTTTCATAAAAACAACAGTGCCACATTACTTACTGGGCTGGGAATAGAGTCAGGATCAAGCTTCTTCTGCTGTGGGCCTGCGAGCTGTGCTGGACCCCCAGAAAAAGCACCAGGAAAAGACAGCTGAGACCCTGCCATCTGAGGACCATAGTTTGCTGCAGAGTTAACAAATGACAACTCATTTATCATAGAATCATAGAATAGTTAGGGTTGGAAAGGACCTGACGATCATCTAGTTCCAACCCCCCTGCCATGGGCAGGGACACCACACACTAAACCACGTCACCCAAGGCTCTGTCCAACCTGGCCTCGAACACTGCCAGGGATGGAGCATTCACAACTTCCCTGGGCAACCCATTCCAGTGCCTTACCACCCTCACAGTAAAGAATTTCTTCCTTATATCTAACCTAAACTTCCCCTGTTTAAGTTTTAACCTGTTACCCCTTGTCCTATTGCTACAGTCCCTAATGAAGAGTCCTCCCCAGCATCCTTATAGGCTCCCTTAAGATACTGGAAGGCTGTTCTCAGGTCTTCACACAGCCTTCTCTTCTGCAGGCTGAACAGCTCCAACTTTCTCAGCCTGTCTTCATATGGGAGGTGCTCCAGTGCCTGATCATCCCTATGGCCTCCTCTGGACTTGTTCCAACAATTCCATGTCCTTTTTATGCTGAGGACACCACCTCCTTTGACCTGCTGGTTACGCTTCTTTTGATGCAAACCAGGATACGGTTGGCTTTCTGGGCTGCAAGTGCACACTGCTGGATCGTGTTAAGTTTCTCATCAACCAACACCCCCAAGTCCTAATCCACAGGGCTGCTCTGAATCATTTCTCCACCCAACCTGCAGCTGTGCCTGGGATTGCCCAACCCAGATGTTCAAGTTGCATTATCAATTTTTAATAACATATTTTGCTATACAGTTCATTCTCACTCAGCTAAATGCAACTTCTCCTTCCCTTCTGTTTTCAGCATGTAAAAGATAAGGATCACTTTAGCTCATATGTACAGTCTGTGTTTTAAAGGCAAGTGTAAGACTTCGGTTCCAACGTTTGCAGGTAGATGTCAAGTAAGATAGTAGAGATTACTACAGCTACTCAAAGCCAACCATAACATTAGTGAGAATTTCTCCCCTAACATCAGTCACTGCAAACTGGTCTAGTTAGCTGGCTTTTTAGTTGTGAAAATAACTGCTTTCCTCATCTATGTTAGGTGAAATAACTGCATTCAGTTACAATTCTTAATTGCTGCAAGGCATTTTTCAAAGCTGCTTATGACAGACAACACTGTAAGACAGAGAGCAACCTGTATCTTTACAAAGTATAAGAAAAACACCTTTGTTTAACATGTTATGCCTTTAACCAAAGAATTCTGTTCCTGGTCCAAATTAATCTCCTTTTTCTTGTTACAGTCTGAACAGGGTGCTGAACTTGTGAGCAAAAGCATGGTCTGCCTTGAATGTACTGACTGACAATGCCAATCTTTCCATGCTACAGTAAGGTTACTAAATTTTCATTTTTCCAATTCAGCAGAACATCAACCATGAATGGTTACAATTACACACTCCATGGGTGTTTTGTTTTCAATTACATAAGCATCCTTCCTTACATTGCTGAGGATGATATCCAGGTCCTGAAGACTGTGCTGAAAGCTGCTGCAAGTTAGGATTTGGGGAGACAGGTCCAGGGATTCCACCTTGTCTGGCTATAGGAGGCACCGATGGCTGAGCACAAAGGCCATTATTTGCTGGTGGAGGAACCTGTGATCCAGGTGGTAAAGCGACTTGCTGTTGGGCTGGTGGAAGTGATAGTTGTGGACCCTGAAAAGATGCTGGATGCCCAGAAGATGTGAGAAGGCTTGGAGTAGTGCCAGGACCTGAACAAAAAAACATGTTGGCTGAGTCAGAACCAAAAACCTACCACCAACTCTGTGTGGAAGGTGTTCTGTTTATTCTTAGCACATTTACAACATCTAAGCAGTACTGTATCGCACACTGACAATGCTGCATTATGGGGATTCTGAATCCCTATTCATATAACAAATCTGACCTCGTAGTTTAACTTTGAACTGATTCAGACATTCAATTTTATTTCTTTTGGCTCTATTTTCAATAAAACCCTGCAGCTGGAGTGTATGGGGAAAGAGAAAGGAAGCCAGCCTCTCGCAATTCTTGATTAGAATACACATAAATCACAATTTGCTTTTGAAATAATATTTATTTCATAATTCAAAACAACATTCTTTTTGCTTAGTAAAATAATACGTTTCTCTTATGTGGCATATTTTTGTTAGTCTGCCATTTGCATTTCAACATAACATGTTTGACGGAAGACAAATCCATTCATTTTATCTTGTTTACAACCATCTCTGGTTTTGATGCTAAAAGATGAAACACATGGGAATTATTTTGTGCACACTGGTGAGAAACAGTTTGTTGGTTATAAGATCCAGATTCCAATTAGAATCGAGGACCCTGAAAATACAGAGGGAGGGGGTGTTTTGAGAGTTACAATCTGTAAATACTTGTTACTTTACAAAACCTATGTTTTAGTCATACTTCCCCCTTAAAGCCTGCAGAAACATAATTTTCAAGAAAGCTAAAACAATAACTAAAATTAGGCTTGGAGCAAAAGGACCAATGTATTAATATATAAATACTGAAATGCATCTCCTGTCAGACATGTTAACTGAAAAAAAAAAAAATTAATCACATGCAAAACAAGCCCAGGTACTTGCTGGTCCAAACATCACTCTAGTAGCTTTACAAGCTGTGAGTTTCAGCGCTCTGTCCAGTTAGACCAACTCAGACTTACAGCTAAGGAAAAATCAGAACAAAACCCAACACAGAAGCAAAGTTGTAAAGAATCTATGTCTTCAGTGGTCTGAAGGGTATGTCAGCCTTCCATGATGAGTAAGAATGTTATACTTTACATAGTTATTGCTGAAGGCAATATAATGAAGGCAGGAAAAAAAGAAGTATTTTGCTCTAAATAATATGAATTGTTGTATGTGAAGTGCTCTAGAGGTGGTGCACCACACTTCATCCTATATAAAAAGGTCTGAGTTAATTGTGCAAATGCAGTTCAGTATATCAAGGTGAATCAGAGTCTAAAATAATCTAAGGTGAAGAACATCTAAGTTTTCAAAAGCAATCATACAAACAGAAGGTCAAACCCACAGTAGTTATACAGATTTCGTTCTAGTCAAGTCACCAACTCACAAAGCCAGGGTAGGGACAGCAAACTTCTATCAGTGCAGCCTGCACTGAGAAGTTCAACTTCACGCATATCCTACAAAGATATTGACCACCATAATTTTAAACAAAATGGCAAATTTCATCAGGAAATACTCAGGAAAAGCAGATATAACCAGAGTGTTAGTAGTGGGAAGTGATTTACATGGAAGAATCACATGATCCCATCTTTACCTCATAGCTTAGGTTTGAGATGTTTTAATCTCAAAATAAATGCAAATAAATTTAGATTAAAAACTGAACTACACTGGGACAAAAAAAAAAAATAAGATGATAGGAAAAAGTCAATCAAATCACATAAAACTGATTACCGTAGCTATTTATCTGCATACTGTCGAGCTTGTTAGCAAGTTGTGTTGTAGATGAAGTGGATGTATTATTTGGGTAGGCTGGCTGTGACTGATGACTGTAGGGAGGATAGGAAAGTCTTGAGTTGCATGGAGGTGGAGGGCCTTGAAACCTAAGGGGAAAAATTACTGCAGTTATGCGAAAGATAAAATCAACCAATCATAGGGTGGTGCTGAAACAAGTAATTTAGGACAGCCAAACCCTTAAGAGAGCTTGCTCACATTCTGCTCAGAACTTGTACTAAAATAGTCATGAAGCACACAGAATTGTACACTTGTTTAAAAAAACAAAACCGAGATGTACATGTTTATTGCATACTAGTTAGAAACAAAGAAGAGCAAGCATGCTATGGCAAAGAGACAGTGGTAATTAACTACATGAAAGCTTGAAGATTAAGAAACACAAGCTTCTGAACATATTACACTACTCCATCCCTTTTCCATGCTTATAAAAGAGGATTCCCTACCAGGGAGGGGTAAGAAGTTTAGGAGAAAAATCTGTGAAGAGAAGAAAATGAAGTGAGAAACTGTTACGGAGTTTCCTCTAGTAGAAAAAAAAAGATGCAGGTAGGGAAAAATTGCTTCACAATTATCAGATATGGAAAGACATGAATGCAAGAAAAAGATCGAAGAAAAGAAAGTTGTAACTCACATGTGGCATATAAAAATATTTTCTACCAGACTATATTGCTCTGGAAAAATAAGAACTCAGGCTATCTCCCAGGGGAGATCTACACTGATTTTCCTACGACTTCTAAAACTGAGGAGGGGCCTACCCATTTCAAGAGAATTAGAATGCACTTGAAATTTTGATGTGGAGATTTCCTTGCCTAAAACAGCAGCTTTCAGCAATTTGGGAATAAAACAAGATTAGGTGAAAAACAGTAGTGTGCGTATGTCAGGGCACTGACTGGAAGCTAGGAAAAGAATCAGTATTCTGCTGGATTGGTCATGTCATTCTGACTCTGGCCACCTTGTCTCTTCATCTTCAGGACACCAACCACTTTTCGCCATGAATCAGTACACTGTCGTCCACAACTGATTATCAGTCTCCTTGGGTCCTCCTTTACACAGTGATAACACAGAGCCAACAAACAGGATTTCCTATTTTGATAACCAATAAAATACATATGGGGTTTTTAAACAGTAATAACTACACAACTAAAAAGCACAAAAGCAGATTAAGACTTCAACCAACTAATAGAAGAATGTTATTAACTGGTGTCAAGTTCACTAAAACTAAAATTGCTGAAGGTACACAAACTAATTTTGCCAGTCCTGGGAGGTGAGCAAAATAATTAATATTTGAGAGAATTAAATACAAGAGCTAAGCATATTTACCCACTTACAACTACCTGCAACATAACCACTGTGATATTGCTTTGAAGCAATGGGTCTAAGATCAAGAAAGAAGACTAAAAAAAACCAAACAATGCATGATAAAGAGCTTTCTGTCAAATGGAATTTAATGAGATTACAGATCGCACTGTAGGATCTGGCAGTTTAACACAAAGAACTAAATTAGAAGACCCAGTTTAGAACTGGAGTAAGTCAGAACTACTGAAGATTAAAGGGATGCCATACTTAAATGTCAGTGAAGCAGCCAAAGAGAAGTAACAGTAGTCAAATAGCTTAGATCTTATATATTAATTCTTGAAAGTCACCTATGTGGTTGTTGCCCTGGTGTACTGGGCCCATTTTGAGAGTCTGTCTGGCTGAATTGATGTGTACCAGGTGGTGGAGGCCCAACAGAAGCTGAGGATCCAAAAGGCACAGTTGATTTTGGCACACCTGCAAAAGAAGATGTACTTTTACATATGAACCCTGTAAGAAAGCACAAGATAGCTAAGAAATACAAGTGTATGGCCCTGCTCTAACAATAAGAATACCAGCTCTAGGTGGCCCTGATTGAGCAGTGGTGTTGTTAAAGATGACCTCCAGAGATCCCTTTCAATCTCACTGATTCTGTGTTAACAAATGACAGATTTCTGGTCAGCTAGAGAAGCAGATAGGAGAAAGACCATAGTAAAAAGGAAGCAAACAGGAGTTGGTAACTTTTCAGCAAAAGAACCCAAGAGGAACACAGTAAGAAGCAAGAAGGAACAAACAGACCCTCCGATTCAATTTGGGATACAGGTAATTCACTGTCACTGTTATCTTTACAAATAGAACCAAGAGGTTCCTTTGATTTCAGAGACCTTGGTCAGAAAGAAAACTTGGAACAATCTTTACAAGGTGACTATGAAGAGACTATTACTTATGCAAACAGCAGTGCTGAATAAACATGTTTTTCAACCTGTACTTTTTCACATATTTTCCTTTAAATTAACATAAAAAATTGTTTGGTACCAAAAGTGGTATTTTAATAAGCCAATTACCACAAGCAGTTCTATCTTTTTACTATATTCAGCGTTGGATTAAGGCAGCACAACTCCTGCTGTCTTTAATAAGAAGTTTTAAAGAAACTGGATAAACCTCCTTTGTTCTGTTTTCATGAGAACAAAAAAATTGAGGACACCACAGAATATTTGAAAAACCTCAATGCACTTGGATGCTTACTTTTGTCATTACACTACTCCACCATCTCAAATGAATTTTAATGTAACTTATAACTTGAATGTTATTAAAATTTTAACAAATACATGTTTTCAGATGCCTTAGAGAATATTTTGGACATCTTTGCTATTTTAACTAATTTCCCCCTTGACATCAGGCAAAACACTGAGTTGGTCCCTCTTCCTGCCTCCCTATATTGGTTACGTATATTAGTAGACTTAGAGGGAATAGGAAACCTTACTGTTTTAGATATTTTATACAGCCCCAACTCACTAGTCTAGCATGCTTTACTGAAATCAGACCAGCATATCTGACAGCAACGAAGACTTGAATTCCATTCTTTCAAATTATTATTTCTGTAAGCTTCCACCACCATATACTCATATATTTCCTGAAAGATCTGAAGTCACATACTGCAAGTTGAAATTAATGAGGAGCAAAGGAAAGACAAGGACAGCCAACAAAGCAAGACAATGTATCTGTTGAATGTCAATAACATTATTTGTAGCATGATTACACTGGTAGAAATAAAGCAAATATTTCCTTTTTTTTGTAATTTGCTTGTACCCAGTGTGCTCTTCCTCATAGAAAGTAACTGTCTCCTAATGGTTAGAAAGCAAATGGTCTCTACTTACCATGCATTATCCAAATACACCACTCAGTAAGCAAGCTCACTCTCATAGGCAAGTTTGTGCTCAAGAATTCAGTAGGACAAAGGTCTCTTGTAAAGAATACAACCGATTTCTGAGAGCTTGCTTGCCATTAACACATATGAATTGAGAAACATTTCTCTATTCCCAGAAATCACTTGTTTTGTATTTGTCTGTAGTCTGTATTACTTATAATACAGGATTAAGTGTTGGTGCCTATTGCTTCCTGGACAGCAAAATTCACACATGAAGGCTGTGAACTTTACCATGCATCTTACATCAACAACACAGATAAAGGTAGTGCAGGACCCTCTTGCAGCAGCAGCAGTGTAAAACTGAGCATTCTGTGTTCACACAAGTAAGAAAAAGAGATGCAAAATGCCTCTATAGAAAAGTAGACTCTGAAAACAAACATAAGCCAAATTCATACCTAGTTGAGGTGCTGAGCAGTAGGAGTTAGGGTCCCCATAACGCTTATAATGAAGTGAAGAACTAGGTGGTCCAAAACCTGAAGAAAAACCTCCTATTCCTGTCTGGGATTGGGAATATGGAGGAGCTGCAACATAACCCTGTTGACTCATGATCACAATATTCTCATTCCAAGTACTGGGTCCACTTTAAAAATCTGCAAAAGAGAAAGTGACACCAGCTATTACTCTTCAAGTGTTTTAAAAGGCTGTGAACTGTATTCACACACACAAAAAGACAAAATACATCTGATGGGGGGAAAAAAAAGGGACTTGGAAGTCAGGGGAAACTAGCGGTTTTGCTTGCTTGCTTACTTGCTTGGTTAGCTTCCTCAGTGCTACCACATAGTGCATTAATTTAAACAAATCACTGAATTTATTTGAATGGTATTCACCACTCCCAGGCCCATGAGAGAAAAAACTGTAAGTAATAGTTCTGCAGGTGGAATAAAAGTCAAAGGAAAGTTCTCAAACTGTTCTCAAAACAGTCTTCTTGGTTAACAAGGCAAATATTGGAAGAATAAAAATAATGTTTAAACAGAGGGGGTTCATGCTTCCAGCTGTACTTTCTTCCTTCCTCCAGCCACATCAGAAAAGACATGGCAGTGTGCACTTCAGTTGTCCCCAAAGACAGAAAGTCAGCTCTAAATAACCTACAAAATTACTAAGACACAAATATATATTATATCCATATAACAGAAAAAATTTTCACTTTGCAGCATCTGTGACAGCCAACGCCTTTAGCTGCAACAGCATTCAGGGGAAATGACTTCCTCCACCGCTTACTTACTCACACACGCACACCAAAAAAAAAAAAAAAAAAATCTTGCCACGTCAAACTTTACACAGACTGAATAAAACACACAGAGACAGGAACTCCTACCATAAGCAAAATTATTTAAGTTATTCAACATAGTTCCAGATTCTATTTAACATTAAACATATTTAATCCCTTCTCAAGATATACAACAACACACAGTAAAAATCGTTTGCAGGCAAAATATCAATTGAAACTGATCACCTAGTGTTTTAGCTATCAGGCTCTAACAAGAAACTTACAGATTCACTCTGTAAACTGGGTAGGAAAGATCAGAGGATCTGCTAAACCCAGACCTTTCCCTGGGCTTTTTTTTTTACTACAAGAGTTACACTACACAGAAGGACAAGTAAACCTTATGCTTCCTCTCTGCGCATTTACCTTGCACCCCACAGACTGAGAAACAACAGTAATGCACACACTTCTCCACAATTTAATTTAGCCCTATTATAGAATTGGTTATTCATCTTTTTGTGTCTCAGAGGATTACTATACCTATGCAATGCTCTACTGCACTGATATCTCTATGAAGATGAAAACTCCACTATACACATATATACAACAGAGTCAAAAACAGAGGATCACGTTCTTGGCCAACATAAGGAGAACTATTAACTTCTTATTTCTTAAGAGAAACTGCGCCTTGGTAACACATCATCAAAGAAGAGGTGCTGCCCCTCCCCAAGGCATGCTGCAATCTCAATTTGGCAGTCTTTGTACACACACACACATACATACAAAATACAGCTACACACATGACACTTCGTGTATCGTTTAATAACACATTCTGGTATAAGCTGCCAAGCCACATGCTTAAATTTACCCCAATTCAGCGCAAAACCTGCATTTAGCTCACATTCCCTCCCCATTAACCAAGAATTTTCAGTCACTATAGCATAGCAACAGGTCTCGCTACCTGGTCGGTCACACCACCCCGCTCCACGCATGACACCTGCCCGCCGAGCCGGCTTTCAGGAGCAGTGTCCCACACGCGCGGGCTCCCCGCCCTATTCAGGTAGGGTGCAGCTCCCCCACCTTTCTGCTGCTGATGCACGAAGCCCCCCGCCCCACTGCATGGCGTCCCCGCGACCACTCACCCCAGCGCTGCTCCGCCGGCACGGCCCGATCCCCCCGTCTGCACCCGGAAGAGCACAAACAATGCGAGCCTCCTCAAGCTCTGGCGGCAAGTCGCGAGACCGGGGTGACTGTTAGGACTGTTACCTGGGAGCCACACGAAACTCCCCGGCACCACCCAGCGCGGGACGCTCACCCGACTGCCACGTCTGAGCCTGTCCGCGCGCCACCGTCTCTTCCCACCCACCACCACCCCGCCCCGGTCCAGCGCGCGCCCGCCCCGCCGGCTGCGCCTGCGCACTGGCGGCAGCGATGCCGTGGTCGCAGGGCGCGCGGAGAGCTCGAAGGGCGGCGCGCACCCTGGACGGCATACTGCCACCGTAGTGCAGCCGCCGCGTTTGCAACCTGGCGCGAACGGCAAAAGACACGTTTGCCGCTGCCTGTGGGGGCGGCGGCGGCGGGCTCGGGAAAAAGCTCGCTGCGGGCTGCAGTGGCGTCCAAGGGAGGAAGACAAGGGGCAGCCTGATTACATCGGCGAGAAACCTAAATAGGCAGTACATGCAGCCTATAGCTGTTACCATCAATTCATTTTTCCTTCTACATTAGGGGTGAAATTCCTCTTTAAACATTGAAACGTCCTAAAAATACGATATTTTTTATCTTATGTCCCTTAAACCCACATTTTTATCTATGGCTATATATATATATGTAAAATTATGCCACCTGACTATCTACAGCAAAACGTAACACAGGTACATTACCTGTTTGCATGCCCTAGTTTCATTTACTGTTCAAGTAAATTTAAAATACTACCTTGGTTACTTACAAGACAGGGTCATTGTTTTCCTAAGTGACAAAGTAGAAATATAGGAGTAAAATGCAAAAGATTTATTGGTGAGGTAACACTTCTGGTCAAAAATCAAATGTTCACTGTGGTGTTAAAAAAAAAAAACCCCACACAATAAAAAAATAAGTAAAGTGGATTAGCAGAGGATTAGCAACAAGATAATAAGCTCAAAACCAGCTTCATAACTCATTTATGCTTCATAGGCTCTCTTATACTTTGAGTATTTGTTATACACCTGTAATAAAGCTTTTGAAACTAGGGGAAAGTTTTACATGGTGCTAAATCTCAGTAATGGCTACCTCAGACAAGGCTGTAGAAAGCATTCATTACTATGAAAAATAGTTCTGAAAGAAATCCAGTGCCTTTGAAGCAGGTGTCAAAATGAAGGGACACAGGGGCATTCTTTACATGAAAGACTCTCAAGAAGCCTCAGCAAGCAACATAACATGGTCAAGAACAAGTCCTGACCTATCTTCATTCTTGCTATCCCGAGCTGGATTCACTGCCAAATAATAATAATAATAATAATAATAATAAGTGCCAATACTGTTCGATGTATCAGAGAAAATCTAAAACCTTTCAAATGTCTCAAAACTGTCCAATGAGAATGGAAAATTTAGTCCACAAGGTGATAAGCATCAGTTAAACGGGATGTAGTTTTGGCTGCAGAGTATCAGTGACTCTTCTTTCATAAGCAGGATTCAAAACAATGCCTTTCAGCATTGCTGTGCTATAGTTGCACCTGCTGTTCCTATCTCTTGCTGGTTACATGGACACATACAATTATCTTAAGCTATGCTAAATTATTTCGAAATACCATGCCACTGAGGAAAATAACAGCTTTAAGTTTGGACATTCCCTATGTTGTGGAGACAGGCAGCTCCCTGTCCCACCAGTCCTGTTGCGTCAGGCTCGTACCTATTAATGGTAAGCAGCTGTGGATAATTCAGCACTCAAGAACCATGCACTTACTTGGCTGCTGAATACTTACTATCAGATTTCTGTTCTTCTGAAATCTAGTGAAACTGAAAGATGAGGTCAACAAAAGATAGCAAGATCCTATGGCATGCTTGGTTCTTCCCCTGTTTCAGGCCCACTCCACTTTGCTTCCATTGTTCTTCAGCCTGGAACACAGAAAAAAGGCATCCATAATGTCTCGGTCTGGCTCTTTTAAAGCTACAAGTAGTATTTATCTACAGTTTCCACATAAAACATTAAAAGTAATTTAAGGTTTTCAATTTCAGAAATGCAGAAACAGATTTAAGTGCATTCCTGGCCTTTAAAGTAATTTCATAAAAGTGAGATTTCAGAATTGCTAAGCTGCTGTCACTTCATTTAAATTATATGATCTTAATTAAACTATATAATAAAATTTGAGAGTTAGACTGGTGTATTCTCTATCACCATCATCAATAATGAAGATATCATAGATTAAATTACCTCTAACAATCAGTTTATCCTGAAGTTGTACCTATGCAATGCTGCTCAAAACTAATGTAATTCAGACCCAATTTGGAGTTAATAGAAGACTTTGTCTACATCTATATGCTTTTTTTATGTACATTTAAAAAATAGCAAATGCCCTGCCTCTAAAAATCTCACTTTTAAAGTTCTCACTAAAATTTATTCTATTAGCTCTGAAACAAAGAGAACGCATAGTCATCCATTAGCCTGGGAAATTGCTGGATACAGGACCAATACAGGCTCTGTAGAAGGCTAAGTTAAATCTTCCAGGAGACTAATATATATATATATTTTATTATGATTATTATTTTAAGTTTAATCATTTGGGATTGATCTGTTCCCTGATGCTACTTCTGGGGTCTATAAAAGCCCCTCATGGACAAACTGTGCAGAATTCCAGGTCTCTATCTCATAGCACATTGCATTAAGACAACATGTGATTCCAGGAACACTAAATCCAAACCTAACCTTTTCATTTAGACAATATCCTTAAAATACAGGCTTAGTACAAGCTAAAAGAGTATTTAATGCTATTATTTGCCCAGGAGAGACTTTGGGTCTTGCAGAAACGGCACTTGCCTGAAAGCCAAGGTCCTCATTTCTTGTGAAGTTGGTCCTTGCAAGTTAAACCCACTTTCTTTCCTTAAAACTCAGTCAACCAGAAATTATTATAAACTTCTCTGTTATAAAATGCTCCGTGGTCCACTTGTGGCAACTTCTATGTAAGCCATGCATTACAAAAGCGTATGTGCTTCAGAAAACTGTGGCTGCTTTCTTTAAAAAGTAAGTCTTTCTCGCTAGTTCAAGTCTCTGTATTTTTGGTATCTGCAAACTGTGAGGCCCCTCTGCTTGCTCTCCCTGATTGTTGCTATTTTGGTTTTCTAATGAAATCAACTTTCTGGCAACTTGACCTGGAACATTTACAGGAGCTAAAGATGGTGTTCTGAGAAAACTGCTGTGATGTTTCAGTTGGGGAATGCAATTATCTTTTATTAATTAACTTAGTAGTGTCTAAGACTCATGAGAGTGGAAGATCACACGACCAGTTCTTAAAGAAAAAAAAAAAAAAGACTTAATTAACTTGCTGTAACTGCTACATAACAAACTGTAACATAAAGAGAAAGACAAGAACTTATAACTTATAAATAGTGCATGATATATAAAGCACTGTGGATAAATATTAAGCCATCTGAGAAAGGACAGCAGGAAGTTATACAATCCTTTTCATGTTTGCTTACTGAATGTATAAGTAGATATAGTTAACTTTTACATTCAAAAGCATCTGAAGTAGACTTACTTTCACTCTTTCATTTTATGTTTCGTGTTCACATATAAAATTTCTGACCTGTTAGTGAAGTCCTGCTATAGAAGAAAATTCAAATAAGGTCTATCATTAAAAAAAGAAGTATCTGTTTGAGCAAACTCTTCATAGCAAACTAGCTATTTGATTGATTTATTTGGTTTCTCATTGGAAGACATGGGATGAATTTACAGTGCATTTTTTCCATTTGTCCAGTTACTTACACAGTTCTATTTCAGCCAGTGCTGGCGATAATTCAACATACTGCAAGTACAGTCCTACTGTACCTCAGTCGTATTTGTTCCACATAATTGATTGTCTACTGCAACTCATATATGACTTCCTTTCTCTGATCAGTTGGTATCACAGGCAGGGTAAGTTGATTTGTAGTTGTTAGTACTGACAAATACTGCTAACTGTGGGATGAATCTGTCATGTAAGAAAAACAGCATTTCAAAATCACTCTGAAATTACAAAAGATGCAAATGCTGCCATGTTTACTCATACTCATATTCACTGTGCTTCTGCTTTACACCATCATTAATGAGGAAGTAAAATCTTCTACCTGATCAAGGGAAAATAACAGAGGGTTTACATACCAATAAACCATCCGCCTCTTATAAAACTACCAGCATTGATTACAAATGTGTTTTTCAAAATACTGATTTTTTCCTATTTGGATACCCCTAGTATAAACTATTTGATGCTTTCCCATCATCAACAAAAATAACAGAATGCAATCAAAGAAAATAAAAATTAAGAAAATCTATCACATTATTTGTATATGATAGATGCAACAGAGGAATAGGAGATGCAGCTGGCATGAAAATAAGAAAGGACAAGAGCAAAATTCTACATAACGCTTGGTGTCACAGAACACACATTAGTTTTGCTTTGTGGAGGCACAAAAAACACTTGCTCAGGATATGCAGACATCAGCAGTTGTCTGGAAATCTGGTAGATACATGACAACACCAGCTAAAAAGTAGATCATCACCAAAAGCTTGTACTAAAGACAGAAGGAGCTGAGAAGCCTGGAAACTGAATCCTGGCAAGAAGTCTGGAAACTGCCTCCAAGCAAAAATGTAGGATTAGCAGGGGTTAAATGTCAGGGTGTTTTTTGAGGGCAGTTCCTATAGCCAGGAATGAAGATACCTTGCTTTTATATCTGTTGCAGTTATTTGCATGGGGGTAAGATTTCATGCAGGGAGGTACTTTTGTTGTATCATCTTTGTTGTTACTGCTTCTCTGGTAAAAATCTATAAACAGAACTATCCAAATGCAAAGAGCAGGCAATACTGTTAGCTTTTTGCAGGCATAACTTGATGCCACAGCAACTGCCTGTGCACTGTCATTTTGCTAGATGCTGTAGTTGAAACCACCAACATCACACTGGCTGGAGCACTCTGAAAATAAACTAAAAATCTTTCAGACAAAAAATACTTCACTGTTTTTTCGAAGATAGTGTTAGAAATTGCCTTATAAAGCTTGCATCTTATTTTGTAGTATGGAGGAAAGAGG